AATTTTCTAGAAGTCATGTTTAAAAAGGTAAAACAAAACAGGTGAACTTAATTTTAATAATGCATGTTCCTTCATCTAACATATATATAAAATATTATTTCAACTTGTAATTAATATAAAATTAATGAAACATTTTACATTCTTAATTTCATATAAAATTTTTGAAATCTGATGTGTATTTTACACTTATAGCACATCAAGTTTCAGACTATGCCCATTTAAAAACAGCACAGCTCTACAAAGTAGGGATTGAAAATTAACACCAGATGAAACCGTACATTTGAACATTATTTTGTATATATTTACTTTAAAGAAAAGCAAAACTAAAAATTGCATTTTAGGGTTGAAAATATTTTTTGTTGGCCTCACTTGGAACTTCTGCAGAAGAGAGAAAGAATGATGGTGGTGGCTATCTCAAAGACTTAAATTATTTGTTTGTTTGCAGTCAGAGGTTGACATTTTTGTTGGGATATCTGAGAACTTAATTGCCATTTCAGATGAATCTGAAGTCTTTAGAAAGTATAAAGTATAAAAAAAAACGAAAAAAGTATAAGCTATAAGTCATCATTAAGCACAACACTAGTCATGCTTTTATTAATTCTTATAATTGTACTAAACACATTTGTTATTTTTGACAAAGAAATGAAGAATTACATTTAAATGGATAATAAAACAACCTGACTGCACGAAAACCTTTGTCCCTTTAGACAGAACCATAGGAAGACAAACACTGCCAGTCATTTTTTTATCCTGAAAAAAAAATCCTGCAAAATTGAAGGCAAAATAGACATTTTCAGATAAATAAAAACAGAGAAAATTCAACACCAACAGACCTTTACTATAAGCAAAGAAATTAATACAGGATGAAATTAATCTTTCAGGATGAAAGACACACCAGATGGAAACTGAGATGTATTTTAGTTATCTTTACTATGTCACAACTGTAGTTGTATAACATACTTATAATTTATTATTACTTCCTATTCTGTAGGTTGACTAAACTTAACTGAGTGGTTCTTGTCTCCTGGGCATTATTGGCTGGGGCCACTCATATGTTGCATTTAGCTGGGAGCTTGACCAAAGCTGGAACTTTCAAAATAGCTTCATTCACATGTCAGGTAGTTCAGCTGTAGTGACTGAAATGGTTGGGATAGGCTTACCTCTCTCAAGTGTTTTTCATAATTCATTAATGTAGCCTAAACTTTAGGAATCCTCTGGATTCTTAGAGGATAAAATTGGAAAGAATAAAGCTTCTTAAGGCCCTGGCCTAAAACTGGCCTGGCATCACTTCTGCCATATTTTGTTCATCAAAACAAGTGAAAAGACCAGCCCAAATTCAGGTTTGGAAAAATAAACCCCATTTTTTAATGAGAGAGGCAATATGCATGTACAGTAATGGGAAGAATTTTTGAAAGTGATTTTTGAAGATAATCCACCACAAAAAGGAAGAAATGAAAAGCACTGGATATAGTAAAATGTAGAAAAATCTAAAAGGCAATATATATTTTTATCTCCTAATTTCTTTTGAAATACATATGACTAAAGCAAAATAATAATGTATGTAAATGTTATATACATGACAACAAAGTACAAAGGACATGTAGAAGTGAAACTATTACTGCAGGGTTATTTTATGTGAAGAATCACAATTTTAACTCTAAGTACACTGTGATAAGTTGTGCATGCATACCATAATTCCTAGAAACACTGCTAAAACAATAGTGCAAAGAGATACAGCTAAAAACCAACAGGGGAACTGAAATACTAAAACATTAGTTACCCCCCAAAAGGGCAGGAAGTGAAGAACATAAGAACACAAAACCAATGGGACACAAGTAAAAACAAATAACAAAATGATAGACCTAAATTCAACAATATCAATTGTTATAATTAATATAAATGGATTAAACATATCAATTAAACAGATCAGATTTAAAATAACGCCCCAATTATCTGTTCTCACCAAGGCAAGCACATAAAAAATACAGGTAAGTTAAAAGTAGGAAGATAGATATTATACCATGAAAACAGTAAGCGAAGGCTGCAGTAATTATATTAATATCAGATCAATCTGGCTTCATGATAAGTATTATCCAAGATAGACATTTCATAATGATAAAATGATCAATTCATCAGGAAGACATAAGAACCATAAATGTTTACATGTCCAATAACATAAATTCAAACTATGTGAAAGAAAAGCTGACAAAACTAAAAGAATCATCTCCACATAGTTGTTAACACTCCTATCTCAATAACTGATAACACTATACAGAAAATCAGAATGATATAGAATATCTGAACATAACTATCAACCACCTTAACCTCATTGACATTGATATACACAGTGTTAAAGAACTGCAAAATATATATTTTTCTAGGGTTCATGGAACATTTATCAAGATAGGCTATGTTCTGGGCAAGACAATAAATCTCAAAAAATTTTAAAATATTGAAATTTCAGAGTTACTTTTGTGACCACAGCAGAAACAAACTGCTAATCTCTAACAAGACTGGTCATTCAAAAAAATGGAAGATGCAAGTTATCAATGTGAGTGTTTCAGTTACCGATTGCTGTGAAAGAAATCACTCTAAAACTCAGGGTATTAAAATATCTATTTTATTGCTCACAATTTTGTGAGTCAGGAATTCATGCAGGGCTCATCAAGAACAGATCACTTCTGCTCCTTGTGTCATCCACTGGATTCACGCATGTAGCAGCATTCAGCAAGTGCCTCATTTAGGCTACAAGGTCTGAGATGGTCTTCTTCATACGTCTGGAGCGAAGGTGCTGACTGTTGGCTCCATGTCTTCTCTTTCCATGTGGTTTTTCATATTCCAGGGGCTCTTTCTTCATGTGGCCTCTCTCCCCAGAAGGATAGCCTGGGCTTCTTTACATAGTGGCACAAGGTACCGTGCAGGCAATACATAAATAAATAAATAAAAAGAAAAGAAATGCCTGCCACCTTTGAGGATACAGTCTTTCCTCAAGTCGGAGCCTGAGGTGGGATTCTAGTCCATGTATTTGAAAGACTTCATAGCTGGACATTTCTCTCCACATTATTACATAAGATGTTTTTTATTTTACGCTTTCATTTTGCCACATTCCTTGTTTGTTTAAATTATTAGCAGTGATCTAATATAATCTATGATGTCTCTCAAATTGTTTGGTTGAGTGAAGCTTGTTCTTTAATAGGTTGTACAGGAAGCATTCATGGGAA